ATGTCTCTTTGAAGGTACTCGACAATAGGCTTGAACTAGAGCATACGAAGAAAATGCGTACATCTTCTGCTCTAGGTATCGTGGAGGTTTTCTTGCTGGTCGAGCTAGGCCCGAATGTTTTTCGTTTGATCCCTGAACACTCACTCTGTCGCTATTCCTGCTGCCTGTTGAAGGTACTGATACCGCCCGTACTCGCCTCCCTCTCACAGAGCGTTCGAGGAAATTTCTTCAGAGTTGGTGAGGAAGACCAGGCGGCGAGAGGCCTCCCTCTTCGAGGAATGGCAGGTACTATCGCCTTGGAACTGGAAATCACGCAACGTGATAGGACATATTTCCTCCACCTGGGCGCTCCGAAGCCTTACTTTGTTATCCTTGTGGCGTGTTAGGGCTTTCGTAACTAATTTGACTATCCATCCACCTGGTAGTAGTGCAATGCAGCACCCGAAAGGCACATGGTGGTCGCATGGCATGTCCAGGTTTATCCCTCGTTAAGCACGGCACAACAATGTGTTCAAAGCTTTGTGCCTTGGAGAAACGTACCTGCAAAGACCAGCGTAGGAGGGGTTGGTGGTGGTTCAGAGGTCGTTTGTGTTGCACCTGCTGTTCTTCCGACGAGCTACAAGATGTGCGTGACATGTGTGTTGCAGAACGTCTACCAACATAGCTAAAGAGCGATTTCATTCACATGTTTCTTTGCTTCCCCTTTCCCCCTCCCCCCGAATGCGGAAGAAGTAGCAGCAAGAGGAGGTATGCAGCGGTGTTGAGGAACGTCGAGGATGCAAAACAACGTCTAATAACGGTATATCACCCCCACGCGCGCCCCGGTCACGATACCTTCCGCAAGGCTGTCTCGCCTCTGGACCTGGATTTACACCTCTTGATTGTTCAGCAATGAAACGTTACCGTCCGTCATTTTCGGCACATATTGCTTTTGTTGTCTTCTCGTTTCTAAACCACCTGCATCGACACCATCATCAACATCATCAACGTCACCAACAGGAGGAGGTGCAGGACGCGTTGGACGGTGGAGAGCTCAGTACACAGATGCGGGGCAAGGCACGACCGTTGAGAAACACGATATAGATCGCTGCATTACATCGTAGCACTCTGGGAAACCTTTAGAGCATGTGGTTGTCTGTGCATTAAAAACGGTTTCAATCTTTGCTCAGCACCTCCTTCCATTTTTTGCCGGTTGTTTGCAATGTACAGCACCTGTACCATACAACCCTCCACCAATAGGGATTAGCGTTCAGGTTCTGCTTGCATTCAGCCCCTGACACGCCTCTTTGTCCTGTTTGCTCCGTTACTCCCATGCCCTGGTGCGTAGTGCCTGGTGCTGGTACGTTACCCTTTGATTATTTCTTTGGGCGGGTGTGGGAAGCGTCCTCCTTTATTTTTTGTTTTTGTTTTGTTTTGATCGGTTTCCGAGGGCTCTTTTCTCGAACGGTCGGTGCGATACCTGTTCTTTTCTTTCTATCATTTTGTTTCCCCGCGGCGTCGTATGTGCCGGGTTTTGAGACCACGGACTCCCCATTTTTTGTGGTCTATAGAGCTCATGTGAGAAACAACAACAACAACAACAACAACAACAACAACAACGTAACGCCTACTGAGGTAATCTCTTGGCGGTGGCCCATGTTGAAGAAACATGTTCGATAGCTACATTACGTCTAGACTACGATGGGCGCAAATACCTGAGATGACTTGATTATTTCGTGACTGAAGCCAGTGCTCCCCCCGTGGGCAACCCCCCAGGAAAGTCTATGTGTGTGTTCGTTGATTATCTCCGCCCCCTTGGAAGCCCAGATTGCCTAGTTTAGAAATGTGTACGAGGTGTTTCGACAAATAACAGGCAGCTTAAGTTACGGGTTCGCTTCTCGCGATCTGCTGTTGCAACCACTGCGCGCCAACTTGGACACACTTTGGATGCGTCGTCGGCGCCCTTGGTGTTACGCGATTCTTTCTCAAAGCATCGATACCAGCAAGGGCATGTTCCATGGTTGGTCCCATTATGTGCTGTTTCCTCACAATACAATGTTTGACCAACTGTTTGAAACAGCGCTGCCAAATTGACGATATGATTTTCTTCAATGGTTGGAACAATATGAATACAAGAATACCAAGAACAACGTCTGTAATCTTTCCTCCAGCTCATGGACATCGACAAGAGGGGAATCCTGGTCGTGAACTATTCCGAACGCCTGGTGACGCTTCTGCGAGAGGTGCGCCAGCTGTCCGAGCTCGGGCATGCTATCCCGTCGAAAATATCGAAGGTATGTGCTTGATCTTCGCTCGTGCGGGGGTCGGGGTCGTGTTTGTCGTTACCTTCGTCACCGTCGTCATCGTGGCCATCGCTGAAACTGTGGTTGTTGCGGCATCAATCACAACGGACTGGTTCGCCAAGCGGACGGGCAGCTTGTTCCTTTTTTTTGCTGCCTCGCTGGGGTCAATCATGCAATAACGTCACGGGTGATATGCATTTTGTACGGTGTCACATGGCCCGCGCCGCCTTCAGGTCGCAGCGGAGGGCGAGACTTACTATCGCTACGGGGTGATGCTCAAGAAGGTAGCCAACTTCTTCAACAACATGGCTTCGCAGGTATTCACGAACGAAAGCAACGGATTGGATTCCTTTCACGCTTTGACGTTGAAACGTGTTTCTTCATCTGTTGAGAGTTCGGTTGACCAATATACAGTACCTTATGCGAAAAGCTTCGGAGCCGCTACGATACTGTTGGGTGTATTTGGTAGGGATATATCAAAGTCTTGGAACTCAACCGCTCTGGCGTGAACACTTGTGGTGATAGAAACCCGGGTGTTCGGTTGTTCATTCGAAGGTGATCCTCGTGCAGAAGCCGATGCTTCTGAATTCCCTGCTGGCATTTGAAGAGGTGGTGATGCAGCCAACCCTAGCCAGGAAGGGAAAAGACGGAAGCACGCGGACCTCGGTTACTTGGAGGTGGGGATGGAACATCATGTTGTTTGCCAACTTTTGCGTTGCTTTTATTCTGGGACATCCAGTGAAAAGCCCGGAAGCTGTTCATGACTCAAAAAATGTTTTCCACACATCACATCGTTATTCAGAACAGTGGCTTGGTTTAGCGACGATTTTTCGCGATATGCCAGCAAGAACAGAAGAGCAGAGGGTGTTGCACGATTCTTCGCGTGTGCTTTCTTGGTTGGATTGTTGGATATGTATCTCCTAAACACAAAACGCCAACATCCTACCGTCTAAGCGCCAGTTGGACGCACGAAATACTGGCGAACGGTGTAGCCCGACCCGGCACTTTCAGAAACTCCGGTATGACCAGAAGTTTGCCGGAACGATCATATACTGTTGGGTCCTATCATCAAGCTACATGAACGAGTTAGTGCTGTCGGACTGTGGACAAAGGTAGTTAAACTTTGCGTAGCTAGGAAATGCACCTGTCTCCTTTGCCGCCTCCAGAAATTCATCGATGAAACCGGGCATCGTGCTCACCAGTATGATTGATGTTTCGATCTTGCTTCTCTAACAGTAATCCCGTGGAGTGTGAGAACTACGTGGAGAGGCTTCAGCGGGCGGCCGACACTTTGTCCATGGAGAACAGACGGTTGAGAAAAGTGCGTGAGGTGTTGCAACCATAGCTGTCACCTCTCTTATTTTAGCTGTCATCGCCGTCGTCGTCGTCTTCGTCGTCGTCGTCGTCGTCGTTTTTGGTGGCTGTGGCTGACCTGTAAACCAGCCACCTAGGGACTAATATTGACGGCAGATGTGGCTGTCGTTTGACATTGACCGCTTTTCTACGCACTACCACAGCGTACGGCCCGCCATGGGAAATACGCCGGTTCGTAGTCGATTGTGTTGTAGGCCGTTCTGCGCCTGAAGTCCTCCTCGTCCATTTTCCCAGCAAGGCAATCTCTTCTACTATTCGTAATTGATGCCAGGGGTCTGAGTTCAATCAGCTCACTACACAGCTGACTTCACACGTCATCCGTCTGTCAACGCTTAAAAGCGATCGTCGGCCGCACTACTTTTTCTCTTCTGGCCACCAGTGCTTCCTATACTGACGCCACCGCCCACCTCTTCATCTTCCCCGCAGGTGCATGCTTCGCTGTCATCCCTTGTGTCGGGCATCATGTCCATTGACCTCCTTCGGCAAAGAGACCGGTGGAAGACGCACTGGGCTCAAATAAGGTACTGTAGGCACGGTAAACCAACATTGTAGCGAGGGCAGCTTGTTTTCTGCAGATGTTCGTTTAGGGTGTTGAATGGCATCACTCGATCCCGTACGGATAAGGCGACAGAACCGCGAAAGCCCTAACAACCTCAGGCGGTTTCAGTGGCAGGCAACACACCCAGTCAAGTTAGTTGAAAATACGGCAAAACTTGTTTGCTGCGCCAATGGTTTCAGGGAAGTTGTGAGCGGCATTCAAGCGAAGTACGCGGCTTCAAGTGTGGAGCAATGGATCACCTACTGGGACCACCAGGTGATTTCGACTCCTTTTTTTTTTTTCATGCTCCAAGAGCACTTATCGACTTGGGTGCGAGAATACTCGTTGAGTGTTAAGCTCGAAACTCCTTGATAGTACGGAAAAACTATTGGTTCAAGCCTTGCGTAAGGTTAACCTGGTTCTACGTTTGTGGTGGCGTTGATGTGATGTGTTGATGTTGCATGATGTAGCAAACGTTGACATGGTCTTGGTGTCGCTGGTTGTCGGTCACAGAAGAAAAAGCGTCCCGCCCACAATTCGCTTAGCCAGGTCATGGGAGCGCCAGATACTCCCGAGGTTGAAAGCGCCGTCGCCTACTGAGCGTTTGATCGATTTTCATGGTACGCACATGGCCCTAGCATCTGGGACCCCGCCTGCCGTTGTTCTTGCCCAAGGGGACGAGAAACTGACACATGACACCGGATGGCACACCGATAGTTTGCATTTTCGCTTACGAGATGTACAAGGCCCATGTGTCGGGGTAACCGCCTGCGGTCGTCGTGTTCCATGGGACGAGAAAACCACACATGACACCGGATGGAGTGCTTTTTCTCTTGCCCGCTTACCAGATGTACAAGGCCCTCGAGGCGGGATATCAGATGGGCCTCGAATCTCTAAACGAAAACCTCGGAGAGGTTCGGGCCGAGCTAGTCTTCGCGCAACGTTTGCTTCAGTTCAAGCCCCCGCTGGAAGAGCTGCGTGCCTCCTACTACCGAGACACCAAGAAGTTCGTGAGCATCCCGAACTTCTTCGAGGGCTTCGGCAACGTGAAGGTGTGAGTCATAGCTCGTCGTCGACGACCAGCAGTGCGAATGATAGCACTCGAAATAAGCATGTTTGGAGTGGATGTCGAAAAAAATGAATCAAGTTTCGTTGAGAACCCTCCGATGTGACCCAACAGCCTTGGCGGTAAACCGTAGGGATAATTCGATCGCTAGGCTGTGTCGACTGGGCTCTGATGACAAAGCGATGCTCCCGGTTGCCATGACGCTAGTAGGGCACAAGAATGCAACTACTTGTGGGCTTCTTGGAAGGAAAGTCCTGTACAGGGGGAACTCCCGAGAGATCTTGGCAAGAATCAAGCTTCTGGTTGCCGCTAAAAATCTCTGAATTGTTCTTGCCGGGAATTTCTTGCTCTCGTGATATCGCGTCTGAAACGAGTAGGTGTACCATAAAATGGCAGCCGCCAACAGCGAGTCGCTCCTTCGCGTGTACGAGAAAGCTGAGGGCATCTTCGAGCGCCTTGCCGCTCTCGTGGTGAGCTTCACTCAAGTGTCTACAGTAAGATTCTCTCCACTTGGTTCACTGATTCGCTTGGTATTGTCGGAAAGTAGACGAGCAGGACCTCGTAGCGACCGAAAGCAACCTATCGTCGAGAGAGCGAATCGTTTTGCGTGTCTACAGCAAACCGTTCAAGATCTACGTAGGAAGCCAACAAGAGCGCGTTCTTCGAGACTGTCGGCACATTTGAAAAAACAATGCCAGAAAGTCTACCTAAAATTCTAATGCTCGTCGCCGTCGCAAAAAGTGCCATCAGCTCTGACCAAGAAAGAACGAAAGATTATCTGGTTCCACGTGAGCTTTCTACCTCTCCGATGAATTTCCCCGAGTCTAGTCGAAACGGTATTCCTTCCCCTTGATGACTAGGGGCATGTCAGCCCAAACATTCATCGTTCCATCGGCACTTCTGAAATCTCTTTTGGTTTGTATCCTCACGTACCGATTACATGGAAATTGTTCGTGTTCGCATTGAAACGTGAACAGGAGACGTACAAGGGCTGGACGGTGCTGGGTCAGGTAGACCTCGACAGATTCGTCGACTCCCACGTCGCGACGGCGCAGGAGTTCGAGGAAAACTTCAAGGCCGTAAAGATTCGCAGGAGGGAAGCGGAAAAGCTGCCCGAGATAATCAAGGTAGTGCGCACAACTCCCTGGTTCAAGAAACAAGACAGATTCCTGAGTATGATGACCAAAATCTAATGTCCAATCCGTAGAGGCTGTTTCCAATCCATGCTCAAGGTAACAAGCGCTTTCGGTTTCGTTTTGGGAGCCTTCAGGCTATCGGTGACAGAGACAGGGAGGCTTCAGTACCACCCTCCCCACGCTGTCCCCCCTCCCGGTGTTTGCCATCGGGGTTGGGTTTTCGTCGCTTGGCAACGACGTTGTAAAACAAGCCAATTCACTTCGTGAACTCGGCAACCAGGTTACCGTTTTTTTTTTTTACCTCCGTTTTTTTTTTTGCGGTAAACCATAATGGTCGTCGAGTAGATCATGTTGTGCGGGGTCGAGAAACCTCACTCCGCGCAAGGGGGATGATCGCACCACGTTGTGGTAAAATGGTCAAGCACCCTCGAGACAGTTAGTTACACAGTGCTTACAGCTGTCTGGAAGTGAAAGCACCAGAAAATAAATTAAGTCATACGCAGCTGTCATCCGTACGCAAGGA